ATACTGTTCCCATATTTGGAGTGCAGCACCCAAACATACCCTGAAACTGTTGGATTCTGTCCAAAAAAAGGCAATTCGTCTCGTGGGTGATGCCTCGCTCACAAACTCACTCACTTCTCTCTTATAGATATTTTCATGGACGATGCTCTTCTGAAATATCAACAATTGTTCCTCCCTTGGCAGTCCCCGCGAGTATTTAACCCGTCGAGTTGAGGCTTCGCACCCCTTCGTGGTCACTTTGGAGACCTGCAGAACATCTCTTTCCAAAGACTCGTTTATCCAACGAACATCGAGGCTCTGGAATACATTGCCAAGGGAGGTGTTCCCCGAGGCATATAACCTCCAAAAATTTAAGAAGAACACCAATTCCTATCTCATTTCCCTTGGTTCTCACGATGTTCTCTGAACATTACAGGATATCCCTTCTCGTGGGAACCAGAACTTCAAAAACGAAATTAAAATATACCCCTTTCATGAACACCTCGTACACCAGTGCATTTCAAAAATGCCTAGGGATTTTTTCAAAATGATATCAGCTCGTTATGCTAATCAGTTATGTACCGTGTAAACCAAGCCAATCATGTAATTTTGCCTTGAAGGTACGCCGACTGAGCAAACAATAATTCTAGTTGCTTCAGTTTCGTACCAATAATTACTTTTTGCCATTGAAAGGTCTAGGTATTTCCGGAGGTATCTCAATTATATGATTAGGAGGAATAAATACAATTTTATGATTGCGTAATCGGTCCACAAAGTTGATGGTCCACTGTACAATGAAGTGCGAATTACTTCAGTTCATAAATAATTGTTTACTGTCAGCCTTGGTACAACTATTTTTCTGGTGATATGATTTTTGTGCTCTTATGATATAACATAAGCTGAGGATATTCGATGATGTGATAATTCATTTTCCGAAAGCACAGCCTACACAGTGTTTACTTGGATAAGTGGAGTTTTTTGTAGGAATCTGGTTTTCAAAGTGACGTACAATAAGGTAAGTAGAAAGTAATTATATACTATATTTTTGATCTGAATTTTCTTCTTCGACGGTCCAAAAATATTAAGTGCCTCAACATCAATAAAAGTTTATTGAAACGTCAATAATTTTTATATAAAACTCAAAATCAATTATATTAAAAATGAACAATACTGTATTGAATAGTAGAATATTTTTCAAATTAAGGAAATTTCAAGAAATATTTCAATAAAAATAACTTGGTTTCCAGAAAATACGAAATATTTCAGTAGTTATGATTTACTACAAATTATGGTAGAAATTCCTTTCTTTCAACATCAACAGAACCATAACAAAAACAATATTTTTCAATTTGATTTTTTTTTCTTTCAATGAATTCACATTTTCGTGTTAAGCAGGTACCTATTTATTCAATTTGAATTTTCTCCTTCGACGGTACAAAAATTTTAAGACCCTCAGTATCAAAAAAAGTTTATTTATTGGACGTAAATAATTATGTAAAAAAATTATATTAAAAATGAACCATACTGTATTGAAACTGTTGAATAAAAACATGAGATGAGTAGACATTGTCGACTTGGAATAAAATTTTTTCAAATTAAGGACATTTCAAGAATTATTTCAATGAAAAATAATAGTTTAGTAGTAGAAAATTCACAAAATTTCAGTAGTTCTGAAACGCCACAAATAATGGTAGAAGAAATTTGTTTTTAACATCAAATGAATTATAACAAACAATATTTTTCAACTTTTAACAAATTTTTATTTCAATGAATTCACATTTTTGTTCTATTGTGAATAAATATACAAATTGTTTCTCAACATCTAAAAAAAGTTGGGTACTCCAATAGCTACTTGTGAAAGGTACTTAATAATAAAAAAAATATTAATGCTTGTGTGTTTTTCAAACCATTAGATATTCGCGGAATTACAGTAGTCACAATAAATTTCAAATGAATTCATACAAACTCCTATGTCAAAATACACTCAGTTCCAAAAAAAGTGACGCACTTGATATTTGACCTATTTTCTTAAAGAAAAAACAAGAATAGTATTTTTTTTTTGTTGGTAGGTAATGCAATTGTCTTAAAAAAAAATAAAGAGGTGAAAATATTTTCAAAGCCTCCTTGATGGTGGTGGAATAACTCGAATCATGATTTATTCTTAATTTTTGACTCACCCTGTGTGTTAATTGAGTAATGGCATAGAAGGTGTTTACACCCTATACGAAAGAGGCTTCTTTTGCGAGCATTTTTTTTTTAATTCTTTGATTTATCTCTAAAATTTTCCGAATTACAGCTTTTTTTGCTGAATCCTTGCAGATTACCAACTTTCTGAATTTATCGAGAATAGTTATTTGTTTAACTAGGCAGCAAAGTAGTAGATTGACTGCCGAGGCTGAATTCATAGCCGAGCGTAGCGAGGCTAGGAATCCAGCTAAGGCAGTCAATCTACTTTGCTGCCGAGTTGAACATATAATTTTTTCTCCGATTGTTCATAATGATGTGGGAGAATATTGTATTTGCGAATTATTACAATTCCCACAATCTCTTTATTTTTCCTGTATAGTGTTCAATTAACATAAAATTTGATAGAAATCGCAGTTGTTAGTTTGACAATTCATGAAATTTCTGACAGTTGTGCGAAAAAATGTCGGTATATTTGAATTATCATAAAATGGACAGTGATAGCGACCTGGAAGTATACTTACACCTCCATTAATAAGGGAGGTGGCAAAAAATATAGAGTTGAATTTGTTGCCGGAGAAGTCTCGGATGAAATATGAAGGAAATTATAAATGATTTATGGATTTTTAATTTTGCTGATACATATCAATCAGCAAAGTAACCACTTTGCTGCCTAGGCAGCAAAGTACCCACTTTGCTGCCTAGGCAGGGAAAGTAATACTTTGCTGACTGATATGTGTCAGCAAAATCAATATTTGCTGCCAATCGGAGGAAAACAATTTTTTAATTAAATAAACTGATACCAATAATTTTAAGAAACATTTTTATAAAAACACAAAATTATAAATTGAGATGACTGCTTATTACCGTGTATTGCGTCCTCTAGCAACTCTAAGAGCTTCTAATCTACGAGGCATACTGGAAATTAAGTTGCTTATCGTTTCCATTGGTACACTATCTCATTCTTCCACTAATGCATCTGCCACTTCTGAGAGACTTTCCGGAGATCTCTCGCGAGAACGTACCATTCCCCCTAATTCGTCCCACAAATGTTCTATAGGATTCATATCGGGGCTTCTCGCAGGCCATTGTAATGTGGTAATACCAGTAGTTTCTAAGAAGTTTCGCACTATTGCTGCGGTGTGTGGTCGGGCATTATTCTGCATCAATATAAAATTATTGCCCACTAACTCTGCATGAGATAAGACATACTGCTCTAAAATGTCAATGTAAATTTGGGCATTCATCGACTGCCTCACCGGAGAAACATGAAGGGGTGTCTTTCCATTCATTGAAATCCCTCCCCACACCATAACGGACCCACCATTAAAACTTTCGCATTCTGTTATTAAATTTTGATTAAACCGTTGCTGAACATTTACCGCAGTATTTGAGCGATTCCGTAAAATCCGCAATCTCAAGAAGCGATCATCTCTTGGAGAAGTTTTTCGGGGGCGACCAGAACCGACCCTCCGAGCGGTGCTTCCTGTTTGTTCGTACTTGCGGATTGCTCTACGAGCATTTGCTTCATGAACTCCCACTGCACGTGCGGCGTAACGTTTACTACGCCCATCGTTTACTAACGCAACTAATCTTGCTACTTGTTCCGGATTCATTTGAGGCATTTTATGTAATTTTAGTCAATAAAACAAGACACTTAAATGACACAACGACAAATGTTCAAACATGGAGGCATATAACAAATTAGTTGCTATGGCAACGGCATTTGTTTTTTTAAAGACGATGTGATCCTACCAGAGTACAACCCAATCAATTTTGAGTACTCTGATCCTTCAATAAATTGTATTTGTGGGATAAGCGTAAGGTATCAGCAAAAAAGCTGTAATTCGGAAAAATTCAGAGATAAATCAATGAATAAAAAAATAAAATGCTCGCAAAAGAAGCCTCTTTCTTATAGAGTGTAAGCACTTTGTATACCATTACTTAATTTACACACAGGGTGAGTCAAAAATTAAGAATAAATCATGGTTCGAGTTATTCCACCACCATCAAGGAGGCTTTGAAAAAATTGTCACCTCTTTATTATTTTCAAAGATAAATGCATTACGTATCAACAAGTGCGTCACTTTTTTTGGAACTGAGTGTATGTTTATCTATGAATGAATGAATGAATAAATAATAATATGTGAAATATCATTAAGTCTTCATTCTTGGATTTCTGTTACCTATCTACATAAACAAATATATAGTCTTCTATGCAGGGAAATTCCATTTGCTATCATTTTGACAAAATTCATATCTCAATCAGTATACATATATTCATATATACTGTGTGATAAAATCCTCTACCGGGCCAAAAAAGGCAAAAAAGTTTTTTAATGTATTCACATTCAGCTATCAAAAACAATATTTTAGTATAATATGTTTATCTATAATAATTATCCTATACCAAAAAAATATATTATATATATATATATTTGTTTGCATCATGATTATAGAGGGTTGGTAGGTACATTAAAACAAAAACAATGCACTTTGTAAATACAAATTAGATTATCACTATATGCGAAGTCAATTAACTGATCAATAATATTTATCAAGAAAGTTGATGGAAAATTTGTCATTGTTATTTTTCATTGGTCCACAATGGAAAGAAATAAAATTCCATTAAAATTCCAACCCGACATAACTTAGCTCTATCTCTGAATCAGACGTTATCAATTTTGTACTGCATGAATTGTTCATTTGCATGTTTCCTGACGTTCATAAAACATTATCAGCTACAAAGTTTATAATTGCAGGTAGGACTAATCACTAATTCGACACTGACTAAATTCATTGGCTCTACACAGTGAACACAATATCAAAAGAAGAAGATGCTGTTTCCTTGGAAATATCTGCAGAAGAGTGTCCCGCTCTTTGCTTGGTCCAGAGATTACAACATCGATAAAGCAGTTTCCGATTTAGTGGCTGGTATCACAGTAGGGCTAACTTTGATACCACAGTCCATAGCTTATGCCTCTTTAGCTGGGCTAGCACCACAGGTAGTTATCTATAATAATAATAATAATAATAATAATCTCATTTGGAAGTCCATGTTATCTCATTGTCCTAGAACTTTCTTCTTCTCAATTACTTTCATAGGGAAAGTATCAAATGGTTTAAGAAACATCTTTCATCGATTCAGTACAGACACTGATATTTTCTTTTACACTTTTAACACAATTTCAAACAGTTTGGCTAACACTGAAGACAAGGTACCCCCTCTATCAAAACCAGGTGTTTACAAGATGTCTTGTTCAGAACCCAATTGCCATGCTCAATACATTGGTCAGACTGGTAGAAGGATTCAGACTCGAGGTAATGAACACGTTAAACTTATAGATATTGCTATCATCAGCATATGCTTGGATACTCGAGTTATCAACTGTTTCGAACATATCTGCTGTATAGATGATGAATAATAGCGGTCCCAAGATCTACCCTTGAGGTACGCCAGACGAAACACTTCCACTTTCTGACACCAAGTTTTCAATTTTAACTCTCTGAGTTCTATCCGATACTATTTATACTAATCTTATGAAGGAGAAAGGTTTGTCTGTTTGTTTGTTTGTGTTGAATAGGCTCCGCAAATAACTGGACCGATTTGGAAAATTCAGTATATGTATATGTATATGTCTCAGTCTCCATCCATACTGAATTTTGAATATCATCTCCGTAGTCCCCTCCCAGGGGGCCGCAGCTTCCTCAGGAGACATTTCTCGACTTCGCAGGTGAAGCTTGGCAGGCTTATTTCGGGACACCCTTTTTTCACTTTTCATTCATAGCATTAAATCAAAGTTCCCAATAACATTTAGATGGCTGTGGAAACAAAACAGGTATTTTTTGACATTTCTGTCAGTTTTTCAGTAAAAAGGGGTTATTTCGTAGAGGAAAAATACGAGATAGTAAGACCCTAATAACACACTTATGTCCCATAGATATCCTTAGGACGTCCTGTCGGGACATTCAGGACGTCCATAGGACGTTCGAATTTGGTACATTGGACGTCCATCGGACGTCTGTGGGACGCACAAATGTCCCACTTGAGGACCAACTAGAATGTCCCTGGGACAACTATCAAATACCTAAATCCTACAGAATTCCTCATCAAGCACTTCAGAGGACATTCTTAGGACATCCATAGGACAACCTATCAGCAACGGTGAGGGATAACAATTGAATGTCCATAGGATGTCCCAGGGACGTACGAATTATTCTTAAATTTGAATTTTTCTGGGTCTCTCTAGGACCAGATCTTGCATAACTGATTAGGACATCCAGTTGAGTTGATGGTCCGTAGGAGGTCCCCAAAAAGTTTCCTACGAGCAATCGTTCGTCGGCGAGGTGTAAGTTAACGTCCTCACAGGGACAACATATTGAACGTACTGACTGGGACGTCCATAGGACGTTATTTCTAGGACATTGGAAGAGTACAGTTCATGCACTAATTGGGACATCCGACGGATATCCCTAAGGGACATTCGAAGGATGTCCCTGAGGGACATTTCGATTGTTATACGATCCTGGAAAAATTAAGGGCGTCTGTGCAGAGATATTTGAAGGAATGTACCATCAGGGACATTTCATGGTTGTCTAGAAAGGACATTATATAGGATCTGAAGTCATGCCAGAATATGTACTACTCGGGACATCCGATGGATGTCCCAAAAGAAACGTTCAAAATCATATCCCATCAGGGACATGCCAAGGACGTCCTTGCATGGACATTCTACAATATGTACACGTGGGACGTCTAAAGGATGCTATTCCTAGGACATTTGAAATGATAATGTACCAGCTGGGACATTCCGTGGACGTCCTTGCTCGGACATCGCATGAGATGTACAGGATGGGACGTCCCAAGGACACTTATTTTTGGTACGGGACATTCGGACGTGAATTGTACCAAATAGGGACGTCCCTAGGACGTTGTGTGCTATTAGGGATCGAACTATTGAAATAACAACTTTTTCATCCCTTGTGTAATTTTTGTATCTGTAACAAATCAATGTCGCCGCCCATGCTCTCTTTTAAATATAATAATAATTATCAAATATTCTTCGGGAGGCTAGGCAACCAACTATTCATTCACACAGATTCAAAATCCGTGTGCGCGCCTAGGGTCAGTTGTTGTGGAGAGGGGATTTTCTGAAATGGCTTGCGCTGGTCATTTCACTCTCGAACGGGCAGTTTTCTCAACCAAGTGAATAATAATTTAACATCCACGTTGATCGAACCCAAATTCTGTGTTTTTGGTTTCCTATGTGCCCAATGTTCCTCTGGAACATCTTGGCCTGTGCCTGCATATGATATTTAGGTGGGTAAAACTCTTTTATATTATTTTATGATTTGTTGACCGACCTTTCAGGTCACATGTTAGTTGTACCTACTTTTCTTTGCTCCTTTGTAATTTAATCGCCCATTATATCAAGTGATAGACTGTCCTGGTGCTCATTAGTGCATATGATATTTAGGTTTTCGACGTTCCTCTCAACCCGAGATCTTGGTGAACTTTTGAAGTGAATAAATAGTCTCCTGAACCATCCATGTTTTAATCAGTAAACCCACCAAACCCCTGAGACCGTTACAACTTGGCGACCATCGAGGAGCTGATTGAAGAATGGTTCTGGAGAAGTCTCCTGTGGGACCAACAGGGTATTTTTTCCGAGCACGCAACGACCGGCGAGCTGAAACACACGGTATGCGGCCAGCAGGAGAGAACCTCCTACCTCCTGAGCAGCGTCCCGAAGACAACGCGACTTACGCGACCTCGGCGAACATCTCCGGGAGCGTCGCGACGCCTCCAGCAACGACGTCACCACCCGGCGCCGGACCAGCAGCTGCAGCCGCAGTCACAGCGGTGTCATCGGATAGCTCGACAGGATGCATCAGTAGGACTGGTGCAAGGTCATCTTTTCAAAATCCAGGTTTGAATACGTATCAGGAAAATTTAATTAATAAAGACAGTGTTGATAATCATTTTCCTATCCATGTAAACACAAATTGTGTTCCTAATTTGCGGTCAAATGAGAGACCCACTTTTTATTCTAATTGTGATAAAAACCAGGCAGATAAGGAATCCAACAGAAATTCGTTTTTGCCCACAGCTGGTTCGTTCGCGAACCCAAGTGAATATACACTGCCTGCCACAAATTCAGTACCTCTAAATTATTCTCAAATTTATCCGGAAAATACTTTTTTTTATAGAAATAATTTTGATCATGTTCCAAATTTTCAGTTTTCAGATAATAGATATGTAAATCGTAACTATAATAGTCAGTTGTCACATAACAATACTTCAAATGTGAACCTACCTAATAGTTCATGTCAAAATATGCGATATCCACGTAACCATCAGGGACAGTGTAGTGTAGCAAATAGTAATCCTAATATTATAAATCACAATCCACCTTCACTAGTGCAAAATGTGCCTAGTAATAATAGAATTTTTAATAATGTATCTGATTTGAGAGATGTACGAGTTTTACCCACTTTTGATAACGAAGGGTTACACCCTGTTGATTTCTTGAATAACATCGAGGCTTGTTTCGACACTAATAGCGTCCCCTTTAATCAGTTGAGATTTCTTATTGGTAATTTGTTTGAGAAAACTGCAAAAACCTGGTTTGATGTTTATAGCTACATGTTCAATTCGTATGCTGATTTTAAATGTTATTTTTTAGAACAATTTTGGGGTGATACTTTGCAACTGGGGGTTAAATTGAGATTAGAATCAGGGAAATTCCAAGAAGGTTCAGGATCTCTAGTTGATTATTTCAATTCCAAAATATCCCTAGCACGTCACTTAAATCCTCCCTATACTGAACAACAACTTATTTCAGTTATTGCAAGGCACTTTCCCCCAACTATTTCGGCCAGTTTATTAGGCGCTGATAATTTATTACTAGCGGTAAGTAGACTGAGACAGGCCGATTACTATTTTGATTCGCAAAGTTCTGTCCAACCTTTTCACCCCAGAAGAGATACAAATCATTTTGGGCGAAATCAAAGTGGAAATAGAGGTTTTCGAAATCAAAATAGCACGGGAAATCATTCCGGATTCAATAATGATAGAAATCACGCGAGTAACAATACTGGCGTAAAGCAAATTTCAGCGCTCGAACTACAGGGTGATTCGATGAATGAGGCAATAACCGGGTCGGGAAACGAGTTATTACCCCACATGTAAGTCCGAGTGTGGGGGCGGTTTTAAAAAGGGCATCACCTAACTTTTTTGTTAATAATAATCCGAAGGAGCAACTTTTGGAAGAATGCGATTTTGAGCAGCATTTTCTTGATACGAGGTCTCCCGTGATATTAATAACTCTGTTTGGATTTCAATTTCCGGCTATGATAGACACCGGAAGTACAGTGACAGCTTGTTCGATGGAAATTTGGCAACAGTTGGCCGATTTCCATAAAGAAATTCCTCATTTTCCCTGTAATGCGGTTAGAGTTGTTGGAGCTTTCAAATCGAAATTTAAAAAAGTATTGCTGCAAGCGTATTTAACATTTTTTGTTCAGGATGCTTCTTTCTCACACGAGTTTTTGTTAATTGCGGATTTGTCATACCCAATTATTATCGGTTGTGATTTTTTAAGATTGTTTCAAGGTACAATAGACCTTAGAAATAAAAACATTGTTTTGTGTTCAGAAAATAAATTTATTCATGTTCCTGAAATGCTTATGAAGCATGAAGGCGGCAACCCGTGCCCAATAAATGTTACAGTTTTAGTTAATAAAAACAAGGATTTGCCACATAAAACTTTTTCATCGAAAGAAATTCGGTACGAAGTTGATTCCGGTATCGGGTCTGACGTCGAACTGTTGTCCAGTGGCGTACCTGAAACAATAAGAATTGAATTTAAAAACTTATTATCAAAGTATGAAAAAATATTTTCGCCAATTCCAGGGCGAATAAATCTTTATTTTCACGAAATTAAGTTGAAAGACGAAAAAGATTTTTGCATCAAGAGTTACCCGATTCCTGTTTTACATAGAG